GGTGAAAACATACATTTCGAATTTCCAGGTTTCGTGAATATAACGTCGCTGCAAACTCTTATAACGTAGTGATTATTTAGTCTGTTGCCTTATCAATAAATTGACAATAATAGATAATGAATTTTATCAAAGCTGTAATAGAATTTAAACTAGATTAAACAGTGAATTCACTGTTAGTAATGACATGCGGGTATGTGAAAAAACTGATAACTTGATAAGAGGTTTAAATATTAGATATTGTGTATTTAAATTCAAAGTAAATAAAACATATTCTGTCTTCCTCGGCTAAATACTACAGACGGTTATAAGTTCTTGGCAGTGAAGAATCGCCCTATACCACGTTTATGTGTACGGAATCGTAACTTAAAAATGTTTCTTCTCGATTGGTTACAATAACGACGACCAATCTATCTTCACGCTCAGTTTTTACATGAGAGAATGAACAGATACTGATAAATTATATGCCACTGCACATTAGCGGCTGTAGTACACTCATGCACAAACGACATATTTCCTTTGGAAAACAAAGGATTTAGAATAAAAAGAAAAAGAATGAGTGAATAATTTAAGGCGGAGGTTATTGAAACTGCGTAAAATATGATCATTAGCCTCACTGAGAAACAAGAATCGGTCTTTTAGATAATCAGGAGCAGCGGGATTTATTTATTTATTGGAAAACCAACAGCTTACAATTTATAGGGATTAAAAAGGATTGCGTAAAGAAGAGACAGGATATGCAGATTACGACGAAAACGAATAGGGAGCCACTTGAGTTGAGTACGAAATTGAGAAATGTGATCATATTTACGAAGCTTGTTTAATTGCTCTTCGATGAGGTCTAAGTAACATGAGTTGGCATAATCAAGAATGGGTAGGAGTAAGGTGTGTGCGAGCGTAATTTTTGTGTTAACTGGGAGGAAATCACGTAACCTATTCAAGGCACTAGTAGCAGCAAACATTTTTTACTGGTCTCCGAGATTTGTGGAGACCATGACAAAGTGTTATCAAAAATAATGCTGAGGTTTTTTACTTTTCTCTGGTAATCTATTAAAACCCCATCAAAAACCATAAGCGGAAGACTGGTCAAGGAAATTTTTGAAATAAGTCCAAGACCAATAATAATGGCTTGTGTCTTCAGGGGGTTTACAACGAGACCATAAGATTTACTCCAGGCAGGCATATACGTTACAGATTGGCGTTAATAGTAGATATCGCTAAAGAGATATCAACAAGAGGGGACAAAGAGTAAAGGCAAATAGAAGAGGAGATAAGACGCCACCCTGCGGTACATCAGCTGACGTATGGCACCAATAAAACGTCATCAATGCGAACGTCGAACCGGAGTTTCGTAGTTACCTGTTTGGACAATGTCGGCAACGTATACGTTACCGACGTCCGATATATATATACAGAAAGAAGGTAAAAATCTTTATACAAATAGAAAAACTTCAATGCATCTATTTGCCAGTAGTGGACTAAGAAATTGACTAAAGAAGAAGAAAAATCTGAACTGGATGAAATCCATAATAAAAATAATATATAAAAAAAAATTACAATGTTTTTGTTTTGGTATTGGTGGCAACATTAAATTAGTAAATATGATTATAATTGTAGATAAAGAACAATACAGCGTGAGGACAGCGAAACTCATTTAGATGGCTGAACAGACATAAACTTGCTACATTCGAGCCCCACAACAGTAGTATGACGCTGTTGTTACCTATCTAATTTAAAACATGTAGATGTAATCTATCTATGTTGAGGAAATGTCAATCTAGTCTGTCATATCTGTCAGTGTCAATGAATTGTCAAAGTGAATAAACCAAAATATCATTTTGAAAGTTATAAATGTCATAATATAATGAGAATTTTGTTTGTAAACATACCCCTTGAAGATTACGATAATCGATTAGTCATTTACTTTTTATAAGTTTGTAAAAGAAATGTAATTATAAGATACCCACAAGAAGAACATTGCCACTAAAACTATCACAACAATTTACACAACAGCTCACTTCTTCATGACGCGTTTAGAACGCGAGGAACTCGTACCAGCCGAATCTAAAGTCTTCGAGGCGGCCAAGGAGTTTGCTGACACGGATATAACGTTTTCAAACTAACACGATGCCTCTTACCATCTGAACCAATGATAACCACGATGCCATTTCGTGTCCAGCATTTTGTGATACCGAAGTGTTTCCGTGCCTTGCTTTTGTAAGAAACGCGGACAATGTAAAATCCGCTATTTTTAAGTTCGGTTTTTGCAGACCAAACTTTGTCTCACATCAGTACAACAAAATTTAACTAAAATTAGCCAGAGTTTCCTTTAAGACATACGGCTAATTCGATGGGTTCTGCTTATATCTTCTGGCGAAATTGGCATCTTAAGTTTCTCAGTGAGAAAGTTGGAGACTAGTATGAATAAGCCACATTCACTATCCTCACGAACACCATGTAGCAATAGGGTTTTGCGACGACTGTGCATCTCCAAGCGATCCTGTTGTTGCCGTTAAAGATTGCTCATTGACTTTGCCAAGACAAGAGACTTAAATTGTGTAAAATCTGTTGATAATGAACTTATAGTGACCGGAGTAGCACTGGCCTTATCTAATTTGTCTTGAAATGCTGCCATCCTGGTGTTAAATGCACCATTATCTGTTCCAAGGACTGTTGCACAGACTCCATTGTTTAAAATAAAAATATTAAATTGTCAAATTTTTTTTTTGTTTAGATTTTTAAATTATTAAGTATTTTTACCTTCCTTAGATTTATGATACCTATTATACCATGAACCGACAATTCGGTTTTATCTTGTTGCTTTACATGTCTGCATATGCGGAACAGGGGATCATTAAGTTACATTGTTATGTCAATGAGGATACATGGAATAATTTTAGTATTCCCTTATTAGCTCCTGCTTTAAATGAATTCTATATATTTACGCATACAATGTATCTCGATGTATTATTTAATAAATAAAATGAGTTTTTACACATTAAAAAGATACAGAAATTATAAAAAGAAATAAATATAGAAGTTATAAAGGTATTACTCAAATTAAGTGTAAAATGTATACAAAATTCCATAGTGATTGGTAGAGCCGCTAAGGCGCTATAAGGTGATAAACAAACACATTTATAATCGCCAAGATTATTTTACCTGTTAATTAAATATTCCTTGAAAAATAATCTCTCACGTTACACTCTACTCTATGAACTAGACATAATTAAGTCACTTTTTTATCTTAAATAAAATTGAAATTAAAAAAAAATTGGTCTCCTCCATTCATCCACATCCTGCCATTGCACTGTAACAGGAGTGGCAAACTAACACGGTAACATGATAAAAACTGCATTACAGATACGTTATCAGTGTAAAGTGATATTTGATAACCCAAATTTATGTGCAATCTAGTTTTTTTTTATGGAATGGCAATCCCACCTGCGCTAACGATATACGCTGGCGGGGCACCAGTGAGGGAGATGGGTATAGAGAGGTGATATATATACGTATCAGATACAGTTTTGGCCAAAATTTTTTCCCCTAGTGTCTCGGTTAATTCAGCAGCCAATCCAGAAGATGTTTTCTTAAGATCTTTCAAAGAACTTCGCGTTATCTGTCTGTCTTCTCTTGCAGATGTAATTTGTTTCTTTTCACTTCGTTTCGTCTTCGTGTCTTGTGGTCATCTTGTACCTATTTAAGGTATACCTTACAGTACTTTTTTTTTATTTTTATTTTATACACTGTAATTTTATGTACTGTGAGGACATTTCCTAATCTTGGCATTTTCACTTTTATTTTTGCCTTCTTCAGACAACAACTGGATTTTTAATTGTTCCTCGTTACTTATTTCACGGCGCTTAGGCACTTTTCTAGTTTTTTTTTATGAACCGTCTCACGTAAAACAACGACCAATTTACAATAATTTGTTGACAGTTCTTCACACTATTATGAATCGTAGTAAACTAAAAATTTCCCTAAAATTCGACTGTCGACTTACCTGGAAATGAGTCACATCTATTGTGTTTATAGTTTTATGACATAGTGAGATGTTTTGATTGGCTCATTTTAGTCGTTAGACGCGTATTATGCGACAACAGACCCAGTACAAGTCAATTTTTAGTGGTTTTTTTCTAAAAATTTCTATAGATTTTTAGGGTGGCAAATACTTTGGGGTAAGGCTGTAGAGGCATCTATGATTTTAAATTATTCAGTGTTTTAATGCATTTATGACTTTTTCTAAGTGACTTAAGCTTGATTGTTGCGGATTTAACTTTAGACGTTTTTTAATATATTTTTTTTAAAAGGTAAATCCTAGTTTAATTTACCAATAAAATACTGACAAAAATATTGAGACAAATAAAATATATGAATGACTTTGATTGGTAGTTACTCGTTTGGACATATTTCGTTTAATTTCGCTACTATTAAATTAACAAAACAATTTTTTTCGGGTGTCCACGATACAGGTTCGCCTAGTGTGGGGCCCAGTGTATCTTGTTTTTGTCAAATAATAAATTTCCATTTCTAAAAGAATTCTAACACCCACAACACACTTACTCATGGTGTGGGGACTAGGTTACTAGTTTATTTGTTGTTTTAGTTTATATGTAATAAGTTATAATAGTTGCCATGCTTGGCAGGCAGATTGTCAACCACAGTTAAACTTTGATGTTTCATGAGGGACGCTGCTGCCCTATTGTTAGTAATGGAGACTGAAAATCCCATTGCTAGTAATATACCCAACCAGGTCGACCTCCTCGTGGTTCCCCTTGGAAACTATCATGGTTAATTCCTGATGAATTCATCACGATGGGCTAACTGGCCTGCTTTCATTCTCATCTATCACCCTTCACTGGAGCTCCGCCAGCGTATCCTGTTAGCGCAGGTGGGGTTACCATTTCATTTTCATCCACAAAAAAAAACACTAATGGACAGAGATGCCCAAGCAAATGACTTCTGTACAAAGTCTGCCTCTGGTAAAATAAAAATACAATAAAAAAATTACTAACAAATTTATTTTAAACATGTAAATAAATATTGTTCGTATCGTGCGCTCACACAATCTCATCCGAATATCACATGGTTACAATAACAGTCCTCCGCGGAGTAACACAGCGGCAAATAAATATAATGGAATTATGTACAATGTTCAACTAGCACAGCGAGGTGTAGGCAACCCTGGCGATTGATACGTCCTGGCGTCACTAGTTCACCGCCTCGCTTATTCTGAAAATGAAATTGGTTTATATTATTATTATGACTACAAAATGAAAGTGATTGGCAATTCACTTGTATTTTTTTTTTTATATTTATTAACTTATAACTCCCTCAGTTGTAAACCGATTTGGAAAATTCCTTTTTTTTTACTTACAGACTGGTCTCATACAAATTTTATTAAATTCGGTTTAGTAGTTTAGTTTTTAGACCAAAGTAACTGGTTTTGTCACATTTGAAAACTTTTTTGTGGGATAGAAATTTGAATGTACAAGATAATTTTACATTTGTATGGATGTACTGTGTACAATAATTAGCATTGAGTTCCGTCTATATGTATTGTTTAATTCAACGTTTAATTGTTTAATTCCTTATTTGTAATAAAAAAATAATATTGTATTATTTTTCTGTTTTGCCTTGACCAGACACTTTTTTAATTATTTCTCCCCATCCTAAGGTTGCCTAGAAGAGATCGCTATTTAGCGATAAGGCCGCCCATTGCTGCCTCTGTATCTTGCTTTTATATAATTATTCACTTTGTTTGTGTACATATTTATAATCTTTATAATCTGTATGATTTTTTTAAGGGAACTATAGTTTTTATTAACATTCATTGTGGGTTATTTATGTGATAAGTTAATTACTAATTAACGACGGGTAGCTATACCAATAGCCAGTTATATAACGGTTTTTGAAACAATAGCCACGTCTAAGTTATATGTAGTCGACATAACCAGCTATTGGTAGGGATGTCAAAAAAAATAGATTTTTGTTTGAGTCGATTATTATGTTCTTATAATCGATTTTTTATAATCAATTTTTATAGTTATTATCATATTAATCGTGCTAAACAGTTAAATTAATAATAATTAAGCGTTCTTGAGAAAGAGATTATCAAAATTATTGTTCTTAAAGTGCATACTTGAAAATTTGTGGGAATTCTAATTTCTAATCAAATGTGGAATTGTTAAATATTTTGTGACAATACGTTAACGTTGTCGTTCAGCTTTTTCACTTATTGTTTCATATTATTTTATTACTGCTCTTACGTAAAACGAGATTGAAAATTGATGCAAATAATTACTTATGATTTTTTTTATTATTCAAACTTGAAGATTGATGAACGATTTGTTTTATATTTTAGTTTTTGAGACCACAACGTAGTCGTTTACTTTTTTTTTTATTTTCGTTTTAAATATTTTATTTTAATATCAGTCAAATGTAAAGTAGGGTTGGTCATTTATTGTAATGTTTTTTTTATTTAATTAATATTTTAGTTTTTGGGACAATAAGGTTGTCATTTTGTTGGGATGATTATCATTTCATTTTATAAAACGTTTATATAATGATGTTTAGTTTTCTTATTATTTACCTTGAAAGTTTAAATTAACATTCGTTTTGATTTTTAGTTTTGAATTAGTTATTTTGTTATTCATATCATTTTATTTGATTTTTAATCTACTAAATTGTTAATATCAATCTTTTAAGGATCATTATTGGAATATGAAAAGCATGTAGATTTTTAAATAACAGGAAAATCGATTTTTTTTCCATTAGTCTCACATCCCTAGCTATCTCCTCGAGCACCCGATACATACCACAGTTTTTTTTTCATTTATTGTGACTTTAGCGAAAGCCTTCAGCCAAAAAATAACAAATACCACAGAGTACGACAAACCGCCAACTACGTTTTTTTTTAAAGGTTTTTACAGCCTGGGCACGACCCTTTAGAGCCTACCTGGAACAGCCAACAAGGTTACCAGATACAAGTTTTAATTTGTACTATATATTTTAAAATTTGTTTTAATACCGCTTAGTAGTTTGTATTCACACAAATTCATTATTTATATAATTAAAGTTTTTGAAAAAAGCAACAGCTGAGTTTCTTGCCCGTTATTCTTGGCTGTAATTGCGTTCCGAATGGGTGGTAATGAAACTAAAATTACTATTTGTAAATACTTAAATCTAAGTTTACTCGAATAAAAATATTTCTTTCTTTCTTACACAAATTTCTTAGCCCGAGTGATATAGGTTTTTTTTTTTTTATTTTGATAAGCACCTATCAATGATTAATCACAATAAATGTAATTAAAGATGGCAAAAATTCTATAATACGTGTAATGCCTGAACGTTTTGAAATAAAGGAATAAAATGTACTGTAAAAATGGCCATTACTTTTAGCTTTACTAAAAAGTTCGCGACACCTTATTTAAGTTCAATATCTCAGCCAAGAAAACGAATTTTATGTTAAAAGTGAATTATTTTCTTCAAGCCATTCATTTTAAAATCTTAGTGCAGTACTTTAACATACTAAAATGTCTTAACATTTTAAAAGTTACTCAAACAAATATTGCACTCGTGCGAATCCGGGGCGGGTTGCTAGTGTCAAATACTTTTTTCTCTAAACTAATACGATTTCCTTTACTTTTAGCCAATTATACAAAGTCTATTTCCACTACAAACTTAAGAACGAACGTCGAAAAAGGCCCAATCAAGAACTTGTATCATTTTTCAAATCGTTGTTATATTATATTTGTTATTTATATATATATTTATTCGTCTATATATGTAATTTTAGTATGTATGTATATCAATAATTAGTAGTACCGCATTCGAGTATTCTGACACTTCCCTATGGTTGACTGGGAGAGAATACTTTTAGCATTAAGTCCGCCATGTACACATATTTGTACTAATGATAAAATAAATAAATAAATAAAATATACCACCAAGTAAACGACGAAAATAAGACTACTCATTTTCTACCTTTATCTCGGTCACCCCTTATTTCATATCTTTCTCTGTTCTGCTACCATCGTCGTACATACTGTACAACCTTAGCATGTAGACATATTATTGCTGAATAGAAATAATTGATTTCCATTTAAATCAGCAGTATTATGCATATATAGACTCATACAAACTCTAAATCAGTCAGTCGTAATTTAGCTAGCCAAATTACTGCCCAGCTACGGATCTGAGGGCCTACCATGAGATGTTTTCCGAAATTTCGGAGCCAAACGAAATAGAAATTTAATGTTAAAATTACATAATACATGCCGTTTGGAAATATTAAAAATGTTAAAATATCGTTCCTTTGGACTTTTATGATAGGATGTATGACGAACGAAATGTTAAACTCCATGTATTGGTCCGATTTTGGTATAAACAAAAACACGAAATTGAGTCCGAAATTTCGGAATTTCATTTCATGGTAGACCCGCTGGTTTCTGCCCGCCGGTCTGGCCAGTAAAATCAACTAGTTATTTTCATTCAGACTCAATGAAGCCCTGAATCAAGGGTCAGGCACGTCGCGAGTCAAGTGGACCTTCAAAATGCATTGTTAACCGCGTAAAATATTAAATAAATAACTTCGATGTGTGGCAGTTTCTTTTTTTTATATTAAACAAGTGCCCCACACTAACAATACGTTAAATTTATATGTGAAAATGAAATGGATGTTTAATCCAATTTAATTCGTTCTTACGTGCTAAAGTCTTATTTATAAAACTATATATATATATATATATATATATATATATATATATATATATATATATTCTTTATTGCACTTGTAAGTTACATATAAAATAATCTATTTATAAATGTTGAGCAAGGGTGGACTTATCTCTGACAGAGATCTCTTCCAGTCAACCCAGTACAGTGAGAAAGCATTTCGTCTATCTGCTTGATTAAGTCATGTCTCCCATATGTGGTACCACCAAAGGGACTCCATCATCAAAATTATGTCCTTATTGTAACAACTCTGTGTTGTGTAAAGTGCACTACTACGTTTTATAGTTTTTATTCACCTTTATACATTTTACAAATATCAAAAGTATAAAAAAAAAATACCCCCAATTTCTTTTCTGCAAAATTATAAATATAGAAATATTTTAAGCCAAAATTGCCCAAAAATACTGTAGTAATTAAAAATATTAAGATTATAAGCAATCTCTCGAAACGCGAAAAGGCGTGAGGGATTTTTCAAAAAGTGGAGATGATATATAAGCTATGTTCAGCTGGCATTCTTCTTTAATCGCTACTGATACTAAATATAATGTTCTCTCTTCTACTGTGTTCAGCAACGAAACGAAATCATATAGACTTCTATTTTGTTCCTGCTGCCATCTAACGGCAATTTGAGCGAATTATATTTGTCATGTAACCGAGGGCTGCGACAGTTGGAACATCGTTGTTGCAACGACGTTTTGTATGAAACTATGTAACCAACTGTATTCCATCATGGCGGATCGTGTCTACCTTGAATCGGCCTCATGACAGTTACGAGTAATGGCGCCATTTATAAATATAGCGATTCACTTATACAGTTTCTTTTTTCAATTGAAATAACTAAAATATGTTTTTATAAATAACATAGTTATAAATAAAAATATAAATAAAATTGTGTTCAGTATGATATAGTACAAAGAATAAACAATGTTTTTAGCTCAATTTTCAATAGATTTGAACCGGTGAGTAAACAAAACATTATATTATAGTTCGATATTTTGGATGGAGATAGACAATGATACAACGCTATGGATATTCATCTATTTTTCTCTTTTTTTTTATTTTTATTATGTTACTTTGAAAAGGTGCATTTCCATTTTCAAGACAAAAACATACATTTCGAATTTCCAGGTTTCGTGAATATAACGTCGCTGCAAACTCTTATAACGTGGTGATTATTTAGTCTGTTGCCTTATCAATAAATTGACAATAATAGATAATGAGTTTTATCGAAGCTGTAATAGAATTTAAATTAGATTAAACATTAATCTCGCTGTTAGTAATGACATGAGGGTATGTGATAAAGCTGATAACTTTGATAAGAGTTTTAAATATTAGATATCGTATAAAAATATTCTATCTTCCTCGATTAAACACACATCTCCACTATAGACGGTTATAAGTTCTAGGCAGTGAAATATCGCCCCATATCACATTTGTGTGTACGGAGTCGTCACTTAAAAATGTTTCTTCTCGATAGGTTACAATAACGACGATCAGATTGATCTTCACGCTCAGTTTTTACATGAGAGACAGAATAGATACTGATAAATTATATGCCACTGCACATTAGCGGCTGCAGTCCACTCATGTACAAACGATATATTTCCTTTGGAAAATATTTTTTTTATATCCTAAGGAGATAAAAAAGCTTCGCTACCAAGAACACCTTAAAATTCCTAATACCGACAGGAATTAGCAGCGAATTTTAAAAGGTAGCACAGAATATCACAGATGTTGCAGTTACAGAGTTTTCTTGGCAAAGCCTATTAGACAATGACAATAATTTTGGAAGGTAATCGATATACTATTAAAAATATATATATGAGATTGTTCCCTAAACTGTCCTCCTTATAATTATCGTGACAAATTTTAAATAAAATCGTCACGATGGGCCAATTGTAGGTCAGTTAAATTTATCGCACCAGGATCCCACCGGGTTTAACTAATGGTACAGTTGGGGTTACTATTTCATTTTTATTGAATTAAAACAGTTTACAGAATTTAAACAGGCTACGGTAACCGCTTACCATCAGGTGGGCCGTATGCTTGTTTGCCACCTCAGTGGTATAAAAAAAAAAATTAAAAATCGGTCAATATTTTTGTCTATTTTCATAGTTAATCTGCCTCATTTCAACGGTAGTCTTAGAAAATGGATTTTTCTTTCAGGTACTTATTCTATGATGGGAAGCCTCTCTGCAAAGCAGAGACTGAAGCAAAAGACTCAAGCGAACGCTCAGGCTGTGGATTGAGATTTTCCCTACAGACTACAGTATGGGGTTCTTCAGAGTGTATTAAGGTTTCTTTAGGGTCGGCAACGTGCGCGTGACACCCCTAGTGTTGCAAGCGTCCAAAGGCTACAGCGACCGTTTACCATCAGACGGGCTGTATACTTGTTCGCCACCTTTGTGGTATAAAAAAAAAGATTTAAAGAGATTATCTTTTTTTTTAACGTTAGACAATAAAGAGTATTATGGGCGACACAGTATACTCTGTTATATTTGTAGGCGACGGTTACCACTTACCATCAGGTGGACCGTCAGTTTGTTTGCTAAGTTGTATAAAAAAATATTTTCAATAATGTGGAAGCAGTCATGGGAAAGTGAGTCAGTATGTTGATCAAGAGTGTTCGATGGAAGAAGGGATTGTTAGTAATGATTAGAAGCCTTATTGCTAGCAATACACACTGTTAGGTCGACCTCCTCGCGGTTCCTCCTTAAAACCATCGTGTCCAGATCCATGTAAATTCATCACGATGGGTACTGACCTGTCATTTCATCCTCACCTGTTCCTCTTCACCGGTGCTCCGCCAGCGTATACGCTGATATATAACAGTATACCTTTAGGGCAGGCGTAGTTAAAAAAAAGAAAAAACAAAGGTGTTCATCACACACGGTGTTGTAGTTATAGTATTTTTGTTGTCATGTTATTTTTTTATAGGTTTATTGTCGTTTTATTTCATTATTTTTGTTGTTTTTTGTTTTACATTTATTTTAAAGTTTTTTTTTAAAGGCAGTAATTTTTACAGGTTATATATTTTCTTTGCTTAGTTTTGAAATAAATTACTATTATTATTATGTTTTATTTAAATTGATAAATAGTACTGATATTTTGTTTCTTATTATTGAAAAGTGGGACAATTTAATTTCTTAGCTGGCTACACTAAGCAATGTTGTTGCTATACAGTGACATTGTATGTGTGGGTATACACACAACCATACGATATTATGTGATTACACATTCATATTTATATACCTATGTATATTTTTTTACTTATTAATATATTTTATTCGTATACTTACTAACACACTTTATTTTTTTTTTATAAAACCTTGTTTTGAAGATTGTTAGTTCAAACCAATTGTAATAACAATTTGTAATGGACAATTGTTATTGGTTTTGGGTATTTAAGTTTATACCATGATAATAATTAAGTTTAAGGCTCTTGTTGTCCAAAATATAGAAAAAAAAATACAAAAATTTAATTATTATTGTTCAGTATAAATTGTTTTTCTTTGTTTAGATTTTTTTTTAATTTTTAAGAATTTTTACCTTTCTTAGATTTACGAAACCTAGCATACCGTGAACCGACGATTCGGTTTTATCTTGTTGCTTTACGGTTTTACTTTTATTACTGTCGGTGTGAAGTTTTGTTTGTTGCTGTTGTTGAACTATTTTTGGTTGTTGTTGTTGAGCTGTTTTTAGTTGCTGTTGTTGAACTGTTTTTGGTTTTTGTTGTTGAGCTGTTTTCAATTGTTGTTGAACTGTTTTTGGTTGCTGTTGTTGAGCTGTTTTCAATTGTTGTTGTATTGTTTTCAGCTGTTGTTGTATTGTTTTTGGTTGTTGTTGTTGAGCTGTGATGGTGGGGTGTGGTTCGGTGGCGGCGCACCTGTTGCCGAGCACGGCGGCGGCGGCGCGGACGACGTCGCCGTGCTGCGGCAGCGCCAGCCCCTCGAGCCGCAGCGCGTACGGCATCGGCACGTCGGCGCCCGTCACGCGCCACGCGGGCGCGTCCAGCTCGAAGAACGACGCAGACTCCATCACGCGAGCACAGATCTCAGCGCCCACGCCTGCCGGCCACACCATGGGCACATTACTTGATCCATCCATCATACCTTGTCATATCTTACATGTTATACAATAAAATGAACTGGGAGGAAGGGGGATTGTTAGTAATTTTCTATTAAATTATTACAACTGTAAACTTCCTTAAAATATATTTTTTTTATACAATTTAGAATGGCAAACAAGCTGACGGCCCACCTGATGGAAAGTGGTAACCGTCGCCTATAGACATGAGCAGTACCATGGACATAACAGAGTATACTGTTTCGCCCATGATACCCCCCATGCGTTGGCATTCCTGAGGACTCAGGTGTTATTTCTCTGTACCCAGTAAATTCACGCCATATCCCACCCTTCAAACCGAAACACAGCAATGCGAACACAACTGCTTCACGGTAGAAACACGAATGAGACAGAGGTACCCAAGCAATCGACTTTTGCATCATCATAATTTCAACCATTATCCGTCCACTGCTGGACATAAACCTTCCCTAAAGACTGTCATAAAGAACGGTCCTGTACCACCTGCAGCCACGGACTCCCTGCAATGCATTTCAGGTCTCAATCAAGCACTCCATCTAGTGAGAACACTCCACTCAAGAGCTTTCTTCCCCATCGGTTGTCGGTCCTTCGACCTATGTGACCAGCCCATTGCCACATTTATTATTATATTAATATACTAGCGGCCCGTCCCGGCTTCGCACGGGTGGACATTTTTACATTTAAAAAAGTGGCCATAAAGGCTGCACATGCGAAGGAAGCTTAAAAATGGAGTAACTTCTCCCGTTTTCCCAACATTTTTCTTCACTGCTCTGCTCCTATTGATCGTAGCGTGATGAAAAGTATACTATAACCTGCCCAGGAGTATGAAGAATAATTGTACCAAGTTTCGTTAAAATCCGTCGAGTAGTTTTTGTTTCTATAACGAAACATGCAGCTGTGTTTCGGTTTGAAGGGTGGGATATGGCGTGAATTTACAGGGTACAGAGGAATAACACCTGAGTCCTTAGGAATGGCAACGCATGGAGGATATCATGGGCGAAACAATATACTCTGTTATGTCCATGGTACTGCTCATGTCTATAGGCGACGGTTACCACTTCCCATCAAGTGGACCGTCAGCCTGCTTGCCATTCTAAGTTGTATAAAAAAAAAACTTTATCCGTGAGACCGGAATGTTTACTGACCTAGATTAAAAGTAGCTTGTATCCTTCACTGTCCCATATAGTAAGTGTATACTAAATTTCATAGTGATTTGTTAAGCCGTTAAGCGTTAGAAGGTAACAAACAAACAAACATACTTTCAAGTTTCTAATATTAGTAATTATTATTAGACTACTTATGGTCTCCCAATATTATCGTGATATGTAATAAATCCTCGAACTGGAGACTGGTAGACAGCAGAGGTCGCCAGTTCGGGGGCCGACCACGTACTCTGTTTTGTTGCAGTATCCGGCCGTAGTAGCTTCCTAATGCTCCTCAAATATTGCGTCTAAACTGCGTCCACCATGTACCCTCTTGTATAGGCATTCCGTCACCCGTATCCAATAGCGAGGACGGGATACCTTAAATACTGTACTGCAAAACATAAAAAAAAATCTCACCACAATTGGGCCAGCCCTGTTCGACGGTGATCAGGTGATGTGTCTTGGCGACGGACTGCGCGATAGTGTCGAAGTCCAAGGGCCTCAGAGACCGCAGGTTTATCACCTCACATTCGATACCTGTAAATGCAGCATATTTTTTTATTACAAAGTAAAAGGGGGATGGATGCCAGCGTATCGTATTGTAAGGTTGTCTGTAAGAGATTGCCCTAGCGATAAGACCGCTTTTTGTACCTTTGTGTGTATGTTTCAATCTGTATTTGTGTTGCTGTTTTTCGCTTGAATTATTCCCTTGTCATTGTATATTTTTATTTATGGTGCAATAAAGAGTTAAATAATAAATAAATAAAGTGTAATGCTGACATACGGGATAGTCCTTCCATTACTTCCTTCAAGAGAAGACTGAAATCACATCTTTTAATCAATTGTACATGATAATTCTATGCACTTATACATATTTATCTATTTATTTATTTATATATTTATTCACAATAGTGTTTGTTGTATTTACATTATTTTCACCGGTGCCTTTCCTGCACTGGATTACCCAAATTAAATTATTTTCTCTCTAACTACACTGGGTTGGCTGGAAGAGATCTCTTTCAGAGATAAGCCCTCCCTTGCTAACAAGTTGTTAAACTAATCGTCGCATGTATTGTTTAAGTGCAATAAAGAATATATTTATTTATTAGTACATATATGTGTACATGGCGGACTTAATGCTAAAAGCATTCTCTCCCTGTCAACCATAGGGAAGTGTCAGAATACTCGAATGCGGTACTACTAATTATTGATATACATACATACTAAAATTACATATATAAACCAATAAATATATATGAATAACAAATATACTTACACATATATGATATATACTATATTATACACGAATTTGGGAATAATATAAAGCACTTACTGCTCGGATAAAGATAAAAAGTGAGCGTGAACGCTTTTTTTGAAAAAAAAAAAATATATATGGTATAAGAATTTTTGAAATTAGTCCAATGGTTTTTCATTCATTACATACATACATACATTCAAATCTTTTCTCTTTATAATGATAGTGTAGGTATACAGCCTTGACTAAAAGTATTTGCCACCCTAAAAACTTTAATCTTTTTTTTTACGAAATTTGATACAAAAAAATCTGAAGTTAACCCTTCTTTGCATAATGGTGGAAATTTCCATCATAACATTGAACGCCTAAAAATTATATAAAAGAACAAGTTCACTTTAAGTTGATCGTGTCTGGATACCTTTTTAATGTCCATTGCAGAAAAAAAAACATAGCTGTCAAATTTAATTTTTTAACCATTTTTCCTTTAATTTTGAACATGAATTGTAATAACATTGATTTATTTCACCAATAAAAAAAAAAAAAACATGAAAAGAAGAGTTAAATGGCCCGGAGTAAGAGGGTTAAAGTCGCTTCGAGTCCATTTTTTAATTGCCACCCTCTAACTATCAATTTCCCCCCTGTGGGGCGTGGGCCCCAAGTTGGGGAACATCGTATTAAACTATGCAATAGAAACGCTGGTACAAACTATTATTATAGATATACAATATAATTATTGATGTTACTGCATAATCTATGGTTGCTGAAAGGAACGTGAAGTGTGAAGCAAATTGCGACGACCCACTAATCAGCAGCCACATTCACGTCGTTCGTTTACAATTAAATTGCATTATATACATACCGTCACCTCTTCGTTTCATATATATTCAAATTATTGTAAATTTATATAGTTCAGTTGTTCACGTATTTTTTTTTTTGATGAGTGAAAATGGTATGGTAACCCCGCCTACGCTAACGGGATACACTGGCGGAGCACTAGTGAAGGGTGATAGGTGAGAATGAAAACAGGCCAGTTAGTCCATCATGATGAATTCATCAGGAAATAACCATGATAGTTTCTATGGGGAAACCACAACTAACTAACTATAACGAACATACAGACAGACAGACAAAAATTTTACTGATTACATTTTTGGCATCAGTGTCGATCACTAATCACCGGCTGATAGTTATTTTGGAAATATATTTCATGTACAGAATTGACCTCTCTACAGATTTATTACAAGTATAGATTGTACTGCGGGGTTCGGAGTGCTGTTATCTATCGAGAAGAACTAGTAAAAAAACTTAACAGTTATTTATTTATTTATTTACTAGCCGACCCCGTAAACGTTGTTTTACCACTTATTGCGAAATATAAAAATCGCAATTAGAATACAGGGGTTGATCATAAAACGATGAAAATTTAAAGTTGTGTGTATTTGTCAATGCTAAATCATATTAAAATAAAAATAAAAAAATTTGTCAAAAAAATAAAAAAAAATTTTTTAGGGGTGGGTCACCCTTATCATTGAGGGGTATTAAAAATAGATGTTGGCCGATTCTCAGGCCTACCCGATATGCACAAAAAATTTCATGAAAATTGGTACAGCCGTTTCGGAGGAGTTTGGTAACAAACACCGTGACACGAGAATTTTATATATTAGATTTAAGGAACACCAACTCTTTAAAAATTATTATGAACAAGATAATTTTACATTTGCACAAGTGCTGTGACTGTAATTAGAATAAAGTTATATTTATACGTATTATTAAATGGAAAATAAACAAAGAAAATATAAGCAGACCAGTCCTTATAAGCAGCACGCGTTCACGAGTATGACGGACGAGCCAACTATCATTGCGCTCAACCATATTATATGGAGTTCAACGGCCCGAATGAAGAGTATGGAGGTAAAATATTTTCTCATGCCTGTTTACCTTTGCCTGCGAGTTCGTTGGCGGCCTGCAGCGCTGTCTCCGTGGCGCGACCTGCGCATACCACAGTCACGTGTTGCCCTGGACGCTCGATCTTCGCTTTACCTACAGACAGACAGATTTACTCTTATATATACATAAACTATAACATCTAACTGTGTACATATACCAGAGGAAGACTGTACAAAAGTCGTTTGCTTGGGTACCTCTTTCCCATTCATGTTTCTACCGTGAGGCAGTTATGTTTGCATGGCTGTGTTTCGGTTTGAACGGTGGGATATGGCAGTTAATTTACGAGGTACAGAGGGATAACATCTTAGTCCTCAGGAATGGCAACGCGTGAGGGATATAGTGGGCAAAACAGTATACTCTGTTATGTCCATGGTACTGCTCATGTCTACAGGCGAAAGTTACCGCTTTCTATCCGGTGGGCCGTCAGTTTGTTTGCATAAAAAACATACGGCACAAACGGCCCTTAACCATCTAATGCTGAATATAGGCATCCCCTTATTGGGGAGTTTTCTAATACTTGCCATGCTTGGCAAGGGGGTTGGCAACCGCAGTTAGGCTTTGGTGATTGGTTTTAAGAGGGACGCTGCTGCCCAACCCTCGACCATTACATTAGTCGTCTCTTACGACACCCACGAGAAAGAAAGCTGTGGCCCATTCTATGCGGGGACCACACAGCTATTGTAACTAATTTATATTAATAAAAATAAATTAATACAATATTATTCTTCTGCAACAAAAACGTAATATTATTGGCAAACAAACATGGGTGATGGAAAGTTAAAAAAAATTTAGAAAAATCCTTTTGTCATCAGTATAAATAAGTTAAGCCTTTGCACTCGAGCGGCGCCCGAGTGGTTTAAAACTTTAAATCGAACTACACTGCTACGACGCTATAGTCTTTTGTAACCGGATCTCCTTTACAATATGCGATAAGATAGTTTCCTCGGAAGTACTTTCGTGGACTAGGCTCTGCTTACATTGCAAGCGAAAATGGCCTCGAGTGCAAAGGGTTAATATAACATACCTATTGGTAGTACAAAGTCTTTTGACAGTGCCTCGTCGGACATGGGGAATGGGACACCATACAGCATTTCATTCTCTAACACTACCACTGGGTCTGGATCCCTGATGGCTGCCTTTAGTAGACCTGCAAATCAATACATATAATAAAATCATAACTGGACGTTGTACTGTATCTGACTGTATTCTGTACTTTAAGTAAAAATAGTTGAAATAATTGTATTTGTTTTTTATATTTCAAATATATGACTTAAAAATATTTAATATTTCATATTTTAAATACAGGGTACAGAGGAATAACACCTGCGTCCTCAGGAATAGCAACGCATGGGGGGTATCATGGGCGAAACAGTATACTCTGTTATGTCCATGGTACCGCTCATGTCTATAGGCGACGGTTACCACTTTCCATCAGGTGGGCTGTCAGCTTGTTCGCCATATTAAATTGCATATAAAAAAGGCAAACAGCTTCTTATTGGGGAATGAATAAAACTTGATAAAAAAAAAACAATATTTAACAGGAACGAAACTAAATGAAATGAAAACTAAATGTATTTATGTATAGTAAAATCTATTTTAAAGCCATAGGTATTTGGAATACTAATTAAACAATACCACAGCATTAGGTGTTTGAAACACGAATTACTGGTATTGCAAGTTACTAATTAAGAGAACATTTTTAGTAAGCAATTAAAAGACAAATACTAAATAACAATTTGTATTTAATTTGATATTTTTTTTATACAAATTAGAATGGCAAACGTGCTAACGGTCCAACTGATGGAAAGTGGTAACTATCGCTAAGCTACTCACGTGGTTGTATTTCGGTTTTAAAAGTAGGACATAACAGTGAATTTATGGGGTATGGAGGTATAAGATCATAAATGAGAGGTAGAAATGGTAGAATGGGTACTTTACTATGTCCAGCCAGTTTGTAAACGATATTTTAATATTTCTTAGTCGATATCACCGCTATAAATTTTTAAAAGAAACAAATAAACATATTGCGAGACAGTTTAACATTAATAGTTAAGTTTGTTAAGAAAATTAGGCAATAAATAGCAAAAAATAATTTTAAAAAGAATTGATTATATTATATTATAATTAATGCTCCTTTCCACTCAGGGTTTGCTGGAAGAGAACTCTTACAGAGTTAAGCTCGCCTGTTGTGCATCTTTATTCTATATATATATATATATGTTGTAATTTTTTCTGTGTACAATAAAGAATAAATAAATAAATATATTATATTATATCAGGAACTAATAACATAAATATTGTTAATTAATCATTCTAAAATAATATGACAATGATATGTAATAGGACAGTTAGATCAATGACGAAATATATTTGACCTTTTTATGCCCTTCAGATAATGAAATGGCAATATGGTATAAAGTACTTATGTTTGTACACGTGATATAACTAATAACAATTACTCAAATATATGATTTTCCCTTACAGACCTTTAGCATCTTCGGCGGTGTACGGCATGAGCACCTTCAGACCCGGACAGTGCATGTACCAGGCGCCGAAGCACTGCGAGTGCTGCGCGGCGACGCCGGCGGCGGCCCCGTTGGGACCACGGAACACAATTGGCACGGGAACAGTGCCCGCTGACATGTAGAATGTCTTTGCTGCTGAGTTTATTACCTGGAATAAAAAAGTTGGTTTATAAACAACAAACAGAATTTGTTATTTATGTATGATAGGCACACATTAAATTCACTCTTTATCATCATCATATCAGCCGTTGACTGTCCACTGCTGAACATGCTTCCCCATAAAAGAAGTTTCGCCAGTAATTGCCATGCTTGGCAGAGGGACGCTGCTGGCCGTCCCTTGACCAATAAGATCCTTTAACGTCACCCAAGGGAAATGTGAATGTGAAAAAGACTCCATTATCCGCGCTTAGCCTTTCATTTGGGCCGTTGTGCGTATGAGTCGTGGCTAGTGCAGCCAACCTAGCTCCGCCCAGACGTGCAGAAGCTTCCTGGGTTCTTCAGAGGCCTCACGAAGCGACCTCACCGTTCCGAGGATTTCTAAACGTTGATGGGCCACAGCCTCACATGCCAGGATTACGCGAGCAGCCGTTTCTTCGGCGTCGAAACAGCCTCGACATAGAGGGCTGTCTGTGGCTCCTATTGTGTACAAATGTTTGTTTAATGGACAATGGCCCGTTATTGTCCCTATCATTATTTTGAGGTTTTTCTATCTAGATGTAATAAACGTTTTGATAGTCGTTGATTCAACGTAGGTACGGCCAATTTTGATTGCCTGCAATCAGTAGCCTGTATCCATCTTCTGTATCCGTCATCCAAGGGAATGAAAGGGGTGGCCTATTCTACGCCAGGACCCAAGGCGGTAAACTCATACATTACAAAAATTTTAATTCTGTTAATAGGAATCCAATTAGGAAATCAGCTAGCTTTAATATTGTATCATCTAGTAATGTGAAATATAAACGATGGCTAGCATTGTGTAAAAAAATTCTAAGTTGTATATATATATATATATATATATATATATATATATATATATATATATATATATATATAAAAGTAAAATGGTACAAAAAAATATAGCCACAATAAATTGTCTTCTCTACTTACATGGTCAATAGCCTGCATAGAGAAGTTGAAGGTCATGAATTCGCAAATAGGCCTGAGGCCCGCAAACGCAGCGCCCACAGCTAATCCTGCAAAGCCTGCCTCTGTGATGGGTGTGTCTATTACTCTCTTGTCACCATATTTCTTCCAGAGACCCCTGTAATTGAAGCATATTTATATAATTTTTATAACTTGAGTTAATTTTTAACCCCCACCCTTGCTCACATCGATGTCTTCATAAGGTCTGCAAGCTGCAGCCCGTAATGCAAGACGAGATGCTGTGATGCACAGCGCCATACACCTAAAGACTTTCAGGTGAAGTTGAAAAAATAATTGGAAACAATAAAAAATAGCAAGTTCATAGAATTCTCTTTAATACATATATACAGGCAGAGCATATTTATTTTATTTAATTTTAATTATTTAATTGCTATTGGGTACTCCATGTTAATCCTCAGATGTTTATCTATTTATCCTAGTTTGAGAGTGATTGTATGGTATTTTACTTCTTTTATTTTAAAGCCAACTTCCATCATTACACTGTTAATTATCTAGTGCGCGGTCGCACACGTCAATGCTCTTAAAAGTGTACTTGTTGACATGCCTCTGATTGTGTGCTAACTTTGACCAACTTAGCACGGGATTGGCTTCCCACGAGACTGTGGACCTGTTAATGCGATAACAGAATAAGAGTAAAAGGTATCAGATATATCTGATGTTGTATTCTTATTATAACCCGGAATGTGAATGTGAAAGGGACTCCATTTTCCGCACTTAGCCTCTCATTTGGGCCATTGTGCGTATGAGTCGTGGCTAGTGCAGCCAACCTAGCTCCGTCCAGAAGCGCAGAAGCTTCCTGGGTTCTTCACAGGCCTCACGGAGCGACCTCACCGTTCCGAGGATTTCTAAACGTAAAAACCCGGAATACAGAAGAGATAAAATATACCAGGGCAAGAGAAAGAGAAACTGATGATTTTATATAATTATTATTGCTTAATACCTTAAGCATTAAATTACAATGCTTAATAGCTTAAGCAATTATTAATAATTCAAAATAGATTATATTATATTAATAAATTACTATGATATATACTAATGAGATGGAAAAATACACAGGACACCTTATCTTGATCACTGAACATAACTATTCATAAAGTTGTGATTAAAAGGTAGTAAGTAATAAAAAACAGTGCCCATTTCAAGTTGATCACCATTGTATATGAGTTGCTACGTTAAAACATAGATATTTATAATATGCTTTGTAATTTCACTAAATGAAGATATTTAAATTGGCCCATTCATTTAGAACATGAGTTTTTAAATGAATGGACAGACAAACAAATACTTCAGATTTATGTTTTTTTTTTTTTTTTTTTTTTATTGTGGATTAAAGATTAAACAGTATATGAACAATTGAAATAACTTTGAGTTAAAAAGAGATCTATGTGACAGAGTACTATCATAGAACACATTTGCTCTCGGCAATATATTATAAAACAAAAGATATTTCACTAGAACATTACAATTTTAAATTTCGTTAATATATTTAAAGAGATTCAGTCTGAAAATAAAAGAATATAAAATTTATGAAGAATAATTACTATAATAGTATCTGTGGTGATCCCATAAGGGAGTTGTCTCGAGGACAAATGAAAGCATTTCATAGAAATATAATTCAAAACATGAATAATAATTTTATGACAATTTGTGCTAGTACAACCAGATGTTAATTTATTCTTGTAAAGATATAAACATAAGATATCATTTTGTACTTCTCTAAGAAAACCATTTAATAATCACCTATATAAAGATAACAAATCACGCTTTTTACATCTGTAAACAAGTTTGTTGGTTATATAATGCTACTTGATCTTAAAATGTAAATTTCTTATAATTTACGTAAATTATTGCAAGCTCATAACATAAAAAATATAGGGAACAAAATTTTATACAACTTACACTGATAAATAACACGTTTTGGAAACGGTAAAGTGGTTAAACAAAGCGTTTTGTACTAACCTTGTCACTTTGTAAGCACCATCATATTGGGCAACTTCTTCACCCATAACGAATACCTTCTCGTCTCGTTCCATCTCCTCGTCGATGGCCTGGTTCAAGGCATCTCGCACTGTCACCGGTTTGGAGGATACGGCTTTAGAAGTCGAAAAACAGCGGCGCGATATGCGACCGACTAACCCAAACACCACCGGTGATTTTAATGCCATTTTCAATTTAAAAATTCTATTCTAATATTAATTTATAATTAAATGGCACTCCAGTGCTTATAAAAAAGTTTTTGGATGACTTATATTTCAAGATATTAAAAATGGTAATAAATGTAGTATTTTTCTAACGGTGAAGGATGAATGGAGGTCGTTCGTATGAAGGTGAAGTTTGACAAGTTTGACAATAAAAACTTTGCTGTCAAACTTTAAATGTCACAGAGAAACTAGTAGGTAGGGGCGCCACCGTGGTAGGTGTAGCACATGTCGGATGCTACTATATATACCAACATAATAAATATATGTTACTATATAATAATAATACAGTTTTAATTAAGGATACTTTGTTAAAAGTATAAAAAAGGTACATTAAAATTTGTATGAAATAAAATTTTACTTTCTATGAGATCCTTTCTTCTCATTAAATTTAAAAAATGTAGCCCGTTACCATCGATACAAAATTATTACAAATATTTTGAATATTTTGTATTTATCAGAGGGAGACCTTGTACAAAAGTCCATTGCTTGGGTACCTCTGTCCCATTCGTGTTTCAACCGTGAAGCAATTGTATTTGCATGGCTGTGTTTCGGTTTGAAGGGTGGTGGGATGTGGTGTGAATTTACTGGGTACAGAGATATAACACCTGAGTCCTCAGGAATGACAACGCATGGGGAGTATCATGGGCGAAACAGTATACTCTGTTATGTCCATGGTACTGCTCATGTCTATAGGTGACGATTACCACTTTCCATCAGGTGGGCCGTCAGTTTGTTTGCCATTCTAAGTCGTATAAAAAAAACATATAATGATTTGTAATGATACTTATCTTTACTAAATTGTTGTTTGAGCCGTTAACTGTCCACTGCTGAATATAGCCATTTTTCATAAAGAATGTTTTGCTATTAGTTGCTACGCTTAGCAGGCGATGTTTTAAAAGGGACGTCGCTGCACATCCCTCTACCATAAACTCCCTTAGTCTTTTTTCATTCATCCACGGGAAAGGGAGGGTAACTTATTCTATGCCAGGACCTATAAAGCGACAAGGTAGTTTAATGAATACTGTGGTTTATGCCACGGTATAAACATAAAATATATATTTCTTTTTAAGTTAATATAAATGGCTATCATTTTAAATATATAACTAGGCATTTCTCGCAACGTTGCCCATTTCTAACTACATACTTCCCGTATATCATTTCTATTGGAGGTCTTCGTGAATCCGGTCTTATATTGTATTATATACTTAAATGATAATAATGTAATTAACGTACCTTCAAAAAGTTTTTACAGTATTTTATATGTGATTCTTTAGCTTGATGTAACTTTTTTATTTATAAACCGATTAAAATAAGATAACTAACTAAATAGCACTAAATGTTAAGTAAAGTAAACCGCAATGCATTACTGGAAACGGGGTTCAAATCTGTTAAACCGTTTCTGAGATTAGCGTACAAAAACGTACAGACAAAAAGACAAAAATTCTAAAAATCATTATTTTGGGTTCTATTACGTTCATAAAGCCCTCTCCATTCTATTATAGTTTTTTTTTATATATATCTTTCGTGTACAGATAACGACCAGTTACGATTTTATTACAAGTATCGATTGATTGATTGATATCAGACAAAACAGTTCTTTATTCAAAATGCCGTTCTGATCTAGGAAATTTTTAATCTAATTACTTGCAATACTATAAAATGCGTGTGTTGTTTAGTTTTGAAAAAATCTGTTAAATTTAGTCAGCAAAACGTCAAATTACCTGAGTAAATTTTGATCCGTTTTACTACTTAATCTTGTTTATATATGTAATTTCTCATTTTGTGATAAATAAAACCAAAAAATAGTAGGTGATCTAATTTTTTTTGGTATTATATAGTTGCGTTGCACATAACTGCAAATATTAAGGAGGAAAAGGTTTTCTAGAGCTACTAGTCTTCATACCAAGCAATATCAGGTCAACCTCCACACGGTTCCCCACGGAAACCATCGTGATTGATATATTGTTGAATTTACTGTGAGCCAACTGACTGACTGCTTCATCCTCATCTACCATCTTTAACTAGTGACTCACCAATGTATACAGATAGCGCAGAGATAATTACGTTTTCATTAATATCCATTAAAAAAAACAACTCCAATATACCTATTTATATATGCGCTTATTGCATATATTGATGTGATGTTTAATAGTTACATAGTTTTATGCAATTTTGAATGCTAAATAATCTGCCGGCTCAGCAGGTAGAAAGTAGTATGGTAAACGTCGCCTATAGACATGACTAGCACTATGAATGCTCATATTTATTCTTTCCCACCTTGTAAATGAAAAAAAAAAACAAAACAAAATCTATTTTTATTATCGATCACCCATATGTGTCTACAAACCGAATCCAGGGATCAGCTGGGTATATCGTAAATAACCCTATAACCGGAGTTATACATACTCGAGCCCCAAATAAGGGCAAAGAGGGCCCCACATTAAATCTTTACAGTTGCAGCCAGCCTTGACCTATTTACCCGGGCAATCCTTTACATGTCTTTACATTATAATTGTTGTATTTTTAGGTCAGTTTCAAGTATATTTTCTTAGAATATAACACAGATAATATTTATTCGAATAGATTTGTTTACCAGCTTTTTTTTTTAATAATATTTTTTTATGACGTACATCCTTACACCATATTCGTGTTACTTACAACCCACTGGCAGGCGATATTAATATTTTTTATCGGTTTGAAATAGGTATTTACTTTGGTAAAATCATTTTTGTAATTTACACAAACAACTCTGGTTATGTTTAAAATACTAAATTTGGCAGTGGCGGTTTTTTCTCATTTATGAGCGGTCGCTGACTACCGGATATTACGTTTCACTCAGAAGTGTTTGAGTGATATTGCTATAGTGCAGGAGCTAGATGTTTATAATACTTATATAATTGGTATTGTATATACTTTGCGTAGTGTAGGACAACGCCCACTAGATGGAGTAACGACCGCAAATGCATTGTAGGGAGTCAGTAGGGAGTTCTGCAATAGACAGGTAAAGGATGGGATGATAATGATGATGATATTTAGAATTGCAATGCTTGAGAGTATTATGGGCATTACAGTCTATTCTATGTTGTCCATGGTGCTATTTATGCTTATAAGTGACGGTTACAATTTTTCATCATGCGAGCTGTCTGCTTCTTGTGTTGCATAAAAAAAATATATAAGTAAACAGTGTGCATTTGTCATCTAGGTGTGCAGAAATATATTATAAGTTTAAAAAAAAATTACCCGATATTGAGTATTCTGATTAATGAAATTATACTTTATTTCGATCTAGCGGCCCGTTCTGGTATCACATGGATGGACATTTTTACATTTTAAAAAGTGGCCATTAAATAATTAAGTTACTTCATTTTTAAGCTTAAAAATGAAGTAACTTCTCCTGTTTTCCCAACATTTCCCTTTACTGATCTGCTCCTATTGATTGTAACGTGATGAAAAGTATACTATAACCTGCCCAGGAGTATGAAGAATAATTGTACCAAGTTTCGTTAAAATCCGTCGAGTAGTTTTTGTTTCTATAACGAACATACAGACAGACAGACAAAAATTTTACTGATTGCATTTTTAGCATCAGTATCGATCACTAATCACCTCCTGATAGTTATTTTGGAAATATATTTCATGTACAGAATTGATCTCTCTACAGATTTATTATAAGTATAGATTATAAGTATAGACAGAAGAAGATTATTATCATATTACAACTCATCCATCATGCTCTTTCATCATAATGCAAATTACTACAAGCATAGATGGAGTAAAAGTAATATACATACGAAAAACACAAGCTAATTAAGAACTATTACATTATCCATTTTGAAGATAAAAAATTAAACCTTGTCTCCTGCACTACTTGTCCGCTCCAGCGACATCTGAAGGGTGCGATAAATCAAATATGAGGTAGGACAACGACCCTGGTGCTTCACAAATTTAAAAATATGCCAAAAATAAATAACTTTAATATAATTAGATACTAAAATATACTTAATTATATTTAGTTCACTCAATATCCACGCAATTTCAACCCAATATGGCGCTGTTGTCGATTTCAAGAGTATCGTTTGATGTTTTTTTTGATTGAGATTATGATTGGACATTGGATTTGTGTTTTAAAAGTAAGCAGGGTGGTTTAAAAAGAAAAATGTGTCTTTGCAACTGACTATGAAAGTATGCAAGATCGGACCTTGTTAGTCTTTGGTTCTCTGTCTATACCGTAAGAGGCATGAAGATAAATAGATAAATATAAACATTAACCTTCTTATTTATAAAAAGTGTTCGCGACATTATTTGTATATATCGTAATTTATAGTTGTTAAGTCCCTAGTTAATCGTTTCTGTATTCTGTTATTTTATATAGATTTACATAGATTTAAGATAGTGTAAGTTAAATAAAGTATTCCTTTGCGTGTTGTCGTTATTACCTACGAATAGAAATTGTAACAATAAATAGAATTAAGAAATTGTAAATTGAAATAAAATAAATAAATAGACGCTATAGAGTACCGATCTGAAGAGACACGCGTCTCGTTCATTTTCGCCCCGTCCCGCTCGCACAGATCGCTATCGCGAGTTGGAAACGTTATCGTGCGAGCGGGCGGGTATAAAGATAGGCCGCCTCCCGTCGAGCGGCATTCGCTTCCGGGCAGCGGCGCACTACACTCGAGAAGAAATAGGACAAGAAGAAAAAATACTCTCTTCAGACGGTACCGGAGGCTTCAGAATAGTAATCCCTGTGTTTCACTCCAGCCTGAACCAACGCCCCTACAGTCCACGCTCACCGTACGGCAGTCCACACCGTTCATCGTGGTCCTTCGAGAAGCCGGATTGCTGGAGGAACACCGTTGGTACATCGAGAAGCCGGATCGCTGGAGGAAGACCATTCTGAAGCCGGATCGCTGAAATGCCGACTACGAGAAACATGAAGTCGTCGCAACAAAAAATCGCCGTCACCGAAGCCACAACGTCCGCCGCCACCACGTCGACTACGGCCGCCGGAACGCTGTCCGTCGCTGCCACGCCGTCCGTTGCTGCCACCACGTCGTCTGCGGCTGTCAGAACGTCATCTGTCGCTGCCACGTCGTCTACCGCCGCCACCACATCGACTACGAACACGTCC